ATTCATTCTGATTAAAAAATTTTAATAATAATAATAATAATGATTGATCGAACGGTTTTTGTTTTTTTTTTTCGTTATCGTAATAATAATTTTTTATAATGCAATTAGTAGTTTTTTTAATTAGCTTATGCGAATTCAAAGTGGATTTTTTGTGTTTGTTAAAGGTCGTAATTATTGTACACGTTACACGAAAAAAATTATTATTATTAGTACACATCACACATGTTTTCACGGTTAATTTACTAAAAAAAAACAAGGGGAAGAAGAGAGTGGAGGAGGAGGAGGAGGAGAAGGGAAAAGTCATGTGAAAGCTTAAAAAAACCTTTTTAAAAAATATTTTTTTTTTTCTCACGGGGTGACGAGATTTTATTATTATTATTATTATTATTGTTATTATTATTATTATTATTATTATTATTATTATTATTATTATTATTATTATTATTATTATTATTATTATTATTATTATTATTATTATTATTATTATTATTATTATTATTATTGGGACTTTTACAACTGTTCACACTAAAACAAATGAATTTTTTTTTTTAAATTTAACAAACTTTCAAGAGTTTTTATGCGTGTGTGTGTGAGTGCGTGCGTGTGCGTAAATAAATTTTATAATTTTTCTCTCTCTCTATCTCTCTCTCTTCATTTTAAATTTTCAAATGAATTTGCTTACGTGATGTGCAAACACCAGCGAATTTTTTTTTTTTTTTTTTACTTGGCTCAATGGTGTGTCACCATAAATTTCCAATGATTATGAAATATTTTTAATTATTTGATGCTCTAGTAAAAAAAAAAAAAAAAATTCGTGCGTTTTAATAATTAAGTTTTGTGTGCGATACGCACACGCACACACACAAGAAGAACGTATTTTTTTTTTTAACGTTGGAAGCCCTGTTATTCAAAAATTTGTGTCGTTCGAACGACGATTTTATAAATAAATTTTTGCGGTCGTTTAAATTTAACCGAAGAATTTCTTTTTTTTTTTTTTCTGTTGCTAACGAACGAAATACGGCGGTTCGGCGGTTAATAATAATAATAATAATAATAATAATAATAATAATATCGTATTCAAACTATTGAAAAAATTATTTTAAAATTTAAATTTTCATTACCGACGTAAAATGTTTAGAAAAAAAAATTTTAAAAATTTTAACGAATGAAAAAATTAATGATTCGCGTGATGAAAACCGTCGAGAAACGGTCAGACAAAAAAAAAAAAAAGAAGTGGAAGAAGAAAAAGAAGAAGAAGAAGAAGGAAATCGTTTCCAACGGATCTCGTTTATTCCGTTATTTAACATTACGATTATCGTGCCGCCGAATTTAACTCCCGCGCCGCCTTCATAATTTTTAAATTTTTTTTTTTTTTTTTTTAAATTACGCTTAATGCATTTGAAATTTTCCAGCCTGTGGCGCGGTTGTTGATTATTATTATTATTATTTTGTATAAGGTATCGACTGTGTACGGTCGCGTCTGAATGCCTGTTTTCTTGGTTGCTCGGTTGTTTGTTTGTTTGCCTGCGGTCATGTTTTGCAGGACAGTTTAAAACCGCACGTGGCAAAACATTTTTTTTTTTTTTTTTTTTTTTTTTTAAACGAGAGAGATACGATAGCAATAATAAATCATCCAATAGTAATTCAAATCTTAAAATATAATCATTATTACTTAACGTGAATAATTCGAACGTGAATTTTCGTGTCATTAGAAATTTTTTTTCGTTAATTTTTATTAGAAATACGTTCGCAATTTACGACGCACGCTTCGGGTGAACGTCGATTATTCGTTTTTTTTTATTTTTTGGAAAGAAAGGAAATAACTATTTTAACCCCCGAAGGATTAAATCGAATATTTTTTTTTTTTTTTTTTAAATAATAATAACAGGGTTTCGTTATTTAAAAGTAATAATAATAATAATAATAATAATAGGAAAATTATTAGTTTAAGATTATTAAGAAGAAGGAAAAAATATATTTTTTGGGAAAAAACGTTCGTGCGAAAAAATAAAAAAAAACAAAAACTCGAATAAATTATTAAAATTAATTGATCGATTTTTATTATTGATTTTTATTTTCAAAAGATAATAATAATAATAATAATGAAATTACGGTCGTGGCAATAATAATAAGAAAAAACGACAACCTTAAACTTTATCTATCTATTCAATGTCATTCCTTTTTTATTTATTTATTTATGTCACAGATAAATAAATAAATAAATAAATAAATGTTAATTAGATAACTCGAAAATTTATAATACCAAAAAAAAGTGAGTGTGTACTAATAGTATTATATTTATTTTCCACGGGGATGGGGGTGGCGGATTAAATACAAAAGAAAATGAAAATGAAAAAGGTTTTAAAACAAAATAAAAATTTTACAGGTTCGAGTGTATCGTACCTGTACAAAAAAGAAAAAAAAATTCGCTTCGTAATATCTAGTCGAACATGCCTCATCATGTTTTTCCTTTGTATGATTTTTTTTTTTTTTGATTTTTATTATAGTTTAAAAGTTACACGTTTTTGATTTGTATGCTTTCACGGAGCTATCTCTCTCCCTCTCTCTCTCTCTCTCTTTCTCTCTCTCAACCTGTGCAAAAGAATAATTGTTTTAATTCGAACAAATCTCGGTGTACAAACGAACGAGGGAACAAACGAACGTCTCTTCTTTTTCCTATTTTTTTTTTTTTTTGCAATTCTCGCAGATTTCGAATTTTTTTTCTTTTTTTTTTTTAAGCATACGCTTTGTGTAAATTAATCAAAAGAACAAGTTTGTTCGTTCGTTTGTTTGTTTGTTTGTTTTTGTTTTGTACGTAGCAGGGTGCAGTAAGGTGTATGCGTAAGAAGACGGTGGGAGAAGTGAATAATTAAAAAAAAAAAAAAAAACAATTTTTTACCACGTGGGAGACTCAAGGCTGCATGCCAAATGCATTAACACACTAAGGGTTAAAAGACCCACAGTTTGTCGTCAAAAACAAAAAAAAAAAAAAAACAACGACAAACGTCTTTATTTAACCGTTAAAAAATTATTATTATTATTATTATTATTTTTAAACTTTAAAATATTATTTACGTTTTTTTTTATAAATAAGTCCGAGTGAACGACACGACGTTGTTTGTTTGCCATTTTACACCATCGATGCTTTTTTTGACTTTTCAGTTTTTATTTGTTTGTTTGTTTTTTATTTGTCTGGAGGTTCCATTTCAAATCCTTTCCCTTTTGTTTGTTAGTTTGTTTTTTCTCGATCCAGTTTTGCATAAACTCAAAAAAAAAAAAAAAAAAATTATTATTCACATTCATTTCGAGGGTTTTGTTTAATAAACAAAGTGTCAGTCACAGGGCGACACAATCAATACAATACCGCACCCCCCCCCCCAAACCTTCCCGATCGAATTATTAACGAAATTTTATTTTATTAAACGAAAAGTAAATAAATAAATAATTTAAACTTTTACGTGGAAACTTTGAGAAAAAAAAATTTACATCTAAAGACACGTGTAAAATTATTATTATTATTATTGTTATTTACCAACGTCGAATTTTTTTATTTTATTTTATTTGATGTATGGAAATGCGAGTGCGAGCGAGAGAAAGAGAGAGAGAGAGAGGGAAATAAATTTTATTTTCTAAAAAGAATTTTACTTATTTTAATTAATTAAAAAAAAGAAGAAAATCACGTGATGAGTCAAACGGGATTTTAAAAACAAAAAAAAATAAAAGTATCAGTTACGTGTGATCAAAAGGCAAAAGGATAGAATATTCTAGAGTAAATCGAGATGATACCGAACGAGGGAGAGAGAGAAAGAGAGATGGGGGGGAGGTAGAGAAGGAGAAGAAGAAGAGAGAGAGAAATAAACGTGGTTTTTATGTTAATGGAAGGCTAATGAACTCATTTCACGATTTTTGTGCAGTACTTAGCACGTGTCGCGTTCTCCGGGAGAATCGAAAAAAAAAAAAAAAAAAAAGTCATTTTTTCAAATGCATTTCGATCTCGTTTTCCTTGCGTAAGGTTTTTCCCCCTCTCTTCCCTCTCCCCTTTTTCCATTAATTTTTTTTTTTTTTTTTTTTCGACTGGATTTTCCAAGTAATGCGTCACGCTTGCCATTAATTTTTTTTTTTTTTTGGTCAAAAGTAAAAGTGAAAAGAAATTTAAAAAAAAAAAAAAAATCATGGCGAACTATGACAAAATGTGTAAAAATTTAAAATCATTCTCTTTACGCCGTTTTTTTTTTAATAGTATTGCCGCCATCATCATCATCATCATTATTATTATTATTATTATCAGGAGTTGTAGTAGTAGTAGTAGTAGCAGTAGCGGCCGTATTACCATAATATTTTTAAAATCACAGGAAATTAAAACTTGAAACGTTATTCATACTTAAATGCAATAATTATGAGACCGACCGTGGCCTAGTTTTTATCATTATTATTATTATTATTATTATTATTATTATTATTATTATTATTATTATTATTATTATTATTCTTTCGTTTTCGGTTCAACGCAATTTCAAGAGATAAAATTTTATTTTTCGTACCTGATTTTCATATTTCCATCGATAACAAAAAATTGTTTTTTTTTTTCCTTTTTTTTCATGGTTTTGCGGTCGTTTTTTTTTTTTTTTTGTTGTATTTTCCGTTGGTTTTTGTATTATTGACGTGGTACAAGACAAACTCGTTCAAAGGTTCAAATGAAAATTTTTGGAATTCGCGTAAAATTTGTCCAGTTGATCCACCCGACCTCGGCCGTATTAAATTCTAATCCGTAATAAACGTGAAAATTTCGAAGAAAAAAAAAAAAAAAATTTCCGGATGTCGAATTTATTCGTATTTTTAAAAAAAGTCGCAATTCAAATCCGGAAAAGGTTTTAACCTTTTTTTTGTTTTTTTTTTTCTTTTTCCTTATATCGGTGAATTAATTTTTTAAAAAAAATTCTTTTCAAAAGGTTTTAATCCGAGTAAAAGGTTCGAAAAGGAAGGAATTGAAGGAGTAGAAAATGGAAAATTGCGTTTCTCCTTTTTTTTTTTTTTTTTTGGTAAAACGGAAGAAGAAAAATATTTTAAAAAATTGGGGGGGAGGGGAGGGAAGGGAAATAAATACTTTTAAATTTTCTACACTTTGAAAATTTATAATTTTTTTCCCCTCCCCGTGCACGTAAGCACGCACGCACGCACGCACCGGCCCCCTTCCTTTTTTTACGTTAATAATAATAATAAAAAAAAGAAAATTTGGGGGTTTTCCTTGCTTTTTTACGTTCACCTTTTGCGTTTTATTACAAATAAAACGTTTTAAAATGATTCGCTTTTGGTTTTTTTTTACTTTTTTTTCTTTTTTGAAATTTTCGTAATTCGAGATGTTCAAATTTTCTTCTTCCACTTTTTTTTAAAAGTTTAAAATTTTTTTTTTGTGAAATAAATAAAATGAAAATTTCTTGTAGTGTTCTTTAAATCACGTAACGCTTTATTTCTTTTTATTTATTTATTTATTTGTTTGCGAAGCAATTTCACTAGTAAGAAAGAATGAAAGAAAGAAAGAAAGAAAGAAAAGAGAAAATAATGGATGTGACTTCATCCCATTGAATTCATTTACAGATTTTTTTTTTTTTTTTTTTTTTTTTTTAATTTTCAGCACTGCAAACAAATAATAATGATAATTATTCGCTTAAACAAAATCGAAAAAACTTTTTTTTGTAATTCGAAAATTAATAATTATACCCGTAGGTTTGACTTTTATCCTTTTCTTTCCACCCCCTCCCTCTCTCTCTCTCTCTCATTATTTATGTGTCAATGGGGTTTCGAATCGTTTTATTATCACTCCATCGCCATTTTTTTTTTTCAGAATCTGTGTGACTTTATCGTTAACAATTTTTCGAAAGTCAACGTCGAGTTTGTTTTATTTAAATTTTTTTTTTTTTTGCAATTTAGGAATTGGCAACGAGGGGGGAGGGGGGAGGGATTTTGTTACAAAACGTGCGGTTGGTATTTTGTAAAATTGCGAATGTTGTGTTGTTCGAAAGGGAAAAAATTGTTAATGTTTTTTTTTTTTTTTGTATAAATTATACGGAATTTCGCATTAATTTTGAGTCATTAACTTTGTTGTTGTTGGGCGTTAACGTATCGTTATTATTATTTATAATAATAATAATGATAATAAATAATAATGTTTTTTTTTTTTTTAAAAAAATTGTAATTATTTTTTTGAATTAAAAAAATTTATCGATCGTAATTGAAAAGCAATCGGTTTTTTTTTTGTTATTTGCCATTTTAGTAAGGTCAACAAAAAAAAAAAAAAAAAAAACATGGAGGAAAATGTGCCAACTGCGTATTACAAAATTGTTTTACATATCGTAGAAATTTTTTATTAATTTGTTAACAATAAATAAATAATTAGAATCCGTTCGAAAATTGTTTGTTTATTTATTTATTTATTTTAATTTTTTAAATTTAAACAATGTGCTGGTGTACCGTCGTCGTCTTTTACAATTGTTTGAAATTACCTTAAGGGTAAAATTTTGATTGCCATTTTGAAAATAATAATAATAATAATAAGAATGATTTGTTTCCTTTCGGGAAAACAAAATGAAATAAAAGAAAAGAATGGAACGGAATGGAAAAAAAAGAAAGAATGAAAGAATGGAAGAAGAAAGGAAAGAAAAAAAAAATTTATTAAATTTTGTGGAGACCAGAACTGGAGATTTTATTATTATTTACAACAGATGGCTTGGGGCTTGACTCGAAATTAAAGTCTTATAAATGTGTGAGCACTCCTGCGTTGTACATGTTTGGGATTTTTTTTTTATTTTTTTCCGTTTTTAATTTGCTGTTGTTGAACTACTCGGAGAAAACATAAGCTCAACGAGTTTATAATAAACCTGCTGGAATTGAAAAGATGATGAGAAACAGAAAAAAGATGATGATGACGCTGATGGACGAGTTAAACGAAAGCGTTGATATGTGGTAAAGCGAGAACACGATGAAAAAGTTTGGTAAAATCCACATAAAAGACAAGGATGACAACAGGAAAAGTTTTTAAAAACTAAAGTTAAAAACGATGATAAAGAAGAAAAAGAAAAGTACCGGAAAATAGTTTCGAGGATGGGGGAGGGGGGAAAATAATATTAAGTAACTTTAAGTTTTCCGGATTTCGAAGAGTTCCAGCGGGAATATGTTAAAATTTATACATATATATATATATACATTGTCGTAAGTTATCGGAGTCGTTTAAACAGTCGCGCAACAGTTTGCTGTCGTTTAATATTTGCATTTTTTTTTGTTAAGGGTAGGGGAGGGGGTAAGAGGTTGATTTGTCGGATTTTCAACCGCCCATAGAGAGTATGCGTTTTCTCATCTATTCATCTCCCAATAAAAAAAAAAAAAAAAAAGAAAATTTACCGTCGATATTTGAATGTGAAATTGTGCCAAATATTTTGTCGTTTATTTAAATTGCCAAAATATTTCCTGTCGTCATTTTTTTCTTTTTTTTAATATTGCTGTAGTCGTTCGATATTAACATCTTGCATTTATCATTAAAAAAAAAAAAATTTTTTTTTTTTTACTTTAGTTATTAAATATTTCGCATTTCGTGAGTTTTTTATAATTTTTTTTCGATTTTTTCAAATCGTTTTCGCCGCGCATTCTATGATAAGCCCTTATCATCGTAAAAATATATATATATATAATCAATTGTATTTTATTAAATATATATATATATATATATCGATATTAGTAAATTTATTTAGCGAAACCATAAAAACTTTGCGAAAAAGAAGTGGAAGAAGAAAGAAGAAGGAACGAAATGGAAAATTCGTTTAACGAATCGTGAAAAACATCGTAAAATAAATTTTTTTTTATAGATATTTTACATTAATTTAATAAAAAATTGAAAATCAAATTTTATTTATTTTTTTTGGGG